GCTATAACTATCATCAAGTTGTGTTTCTTTATATGCACTTTATTTTTTGTACCACGTGAAAGCTCTTTAATGGTATGAACCTTTATTTTAAAACCTAGGACAGTGCTACAGAGAAATACCTATTTTAAACTATGTATTTAGGATATCTTTATAATATTTTCAAGGAGCTCTGGTGTCATAGTGCCTAAGGCTCTTGACTGCTAACCAGAAGGCTGGCGATTCAAACCTACCAGCCATTCCTTGGAAGGGAGGTTGGGCAATCTACTTCCGTAGCCATGTTGTTGTTGTTGTTATGGGCCGTCAAGTCGGACCCGACTCATAGAGACCCCTCCTTGGGTTTCAAAGGCAGTATCACTATGGAAGTAGATTGCCCCATCTTCCTTCTGAGGAGTGGCTGGTGGGTTTGAACCACCAGCCTTCTGTAGTGATACTACCTCAGAAACCCAAGGAGAGGTTGCTATGAGTCAGATTTGACTCAACAGCAGTGAGCGAGAGTTATAATATTTTCATATGATAAACAGTCATAATTACTAAAATAATCTCTAAAGTAGTGATTGCATATAGTTTATTCTTATATACATGAGATACTTTTATAAGAAAATCATTTATGACATACAGCAAATTGATGAAAACTGAGGCACATTATTTTTATGTTACTTATTGGCTGATTATTCTAAAAATGAATACTGAAAAAAAGTAAGATAAATCCATAAACCTGCAAAACTTCCGAATAATATAAACAATCAAACAATTTAAATTATAACAATGAAATATTTATTTTAAATTCCACAACATTAAATAGTTCCCCGCTGAATATAACCAATACAAATGCACTTTGATTACTTAAGCAATTTTGACGCATTCGATATATTAATACATACTTACACAACCAATTTATATTATAAACACTGTACAATTATTGCTAATTATTTTCCAATATTTTGAAGTGAGAGCTATTAATTCTTTTTTTCTTATATAAAAATGGTACAGCATAGTTAGAATCACTAATATACAAATAGGTTCGTGCATATACTTGGGTATCATTTCTTCTTATACCTGAAGTCAATGAATCAAAATTTATAAGCACTGGATTTGGCAAGCCTAATTATTGCCTAATTTTGAATATTTATCTATTCATCAGTGAGCATGAACACAATATTCTTTTGTATATCACATATGACACCATACCATATAAGCTTTTTAAGGGTGTTTTTTTCCCAAAATCATAGGATTAATTATATAATCACTAATATACAAATAGGTTCGTGCATATATTTGGGCATCATTTCTTCTTATACCTGAAGTCAATGAATCAAAATTTATAAGCACTGGCTTTAGCAAGCCTAATTATTGCCTAATTTTGAATATTTATCTATTCATCAGTGAGCATGAACACAATATTCTTTTGTATATCACATATGATACCATACCATATAAGCTTTTTAAGGGTGTTTTTTTCCCAAAATCATAGGATTAATTATATAATAACAGGCATTAATTTTATTTCTGTAAATAGGTAGATCTGTTCAATTTGAACATGTATTAACTTGATTTAAATATTAAATTTAATTTCATGTACTAATTTCTTTCTATCCTCTACTAAATATTTTTTTAATCATGCTACTGAATATCAATTATTATCTCAAGCAGTAATAACCACAAACAGAAAATTCCATCTACAATCATCAATTTATCCCTAAGAATTCCAGACATGGGTAGGAATTTAACATGAGCTACTGAAAAATATAAGGTCATTTAAATATATCAACAATTGATGATGCTTAGTTGTATAATCAAAATTAAAAAAGAGAATACCAGCACAAACACAGCTTTACTGATTTCTTTCCAAATTAAAACAAAATTTTGCCTTCTTTTTGAATGAAAAATTGACCTGAAGGATGTCTATTTTCTCATGAAAAGTTATCGTATCAAAGTTAAAGGGCAGATGAGCTTTAAAATATTGCCTGTATCAGAGTTTATTTGGATACCTCAAAAGAGAAATCCATAACTGAAGTGCCTTGAAGGCTCTCAGGGAGAAAAGGGAACAGACATTCTTAATGAGAAAACATTCCCTGCCAGTACTTCTTTCATCTCTATATGCAAGAGAGAGACTGCTATTTAAAGAGTTCTCCCCACCATCCCCCAAAAAAATTTCATCAGCAACAAAGCTTTCACCTTGTCCCATTTCGCAGTTATATCAATCTGTTACCTGATGTGAGGATTATATAAGGTAGTTTTCTCCCATTAGCAAGAGTTCCTAACAGCCACCATCAAGCTGGTAAAAATGAAATATGACCTACATTTTTCAAAAGATTTCCATGGATTTTATGGTGAGTATAATTCTTCCTACAGCTTAAGTTCTCCTCCCTTCAAATATACTATGTTAACCAAAATATACTAGCAAATGCTTTCTTTTTTAAATGCACAAGTAAAAAGATTCATAAAATATACATAAATTTCTCAAACATTTATTTCCAACAGTGAATTTCTCATACATCTCCTTTACTATGAGCCTCCTTTACAGTAAGCCTATATAATCCTAAATAAACCCATGCTAAAAAAATTATTCATCTGGAATACATTTATAAAATATAAGTTAATTGATTCGTATGAGAGGTGAGACTGATAGAATACCAACATGTGAATTTTAAAACACAATTTGGAATAAAATGATTCCATGTCTAGTTTTCTCTTTTTAAGAATGAAGTATTATACTTTTAAGAAGAAAGAAAGTTGGTATACTAATTAAAATAGAAGCTATTAAATACTGTTTAAAAAGAGAAATTTAATTTCTGGGTTCTTGAAAACTTCTAATTGTCACAAAATGTAATGAGAAATGCATTTCAAGTAAATTCACAAATCAAGCATGCAGAATTAATACAGACTTTTCTATCATCCTTGTAATTCAGATATAGGCACTGTAGTTTTCCTACAAATAATTATTCTGGAGAAATCACTAAAAAGTCCACAGAAACTTAATTTCAAATAAAAAGGTAAGAAAGCATGCAGTCTTAATGAAAACTTACATGCATAAGACAATATGGTACAATGAACACATTTTCACCACATGATTTAACAGTAATAAACAAGTTCTCACATTTATTCATTTTTTAGACTGCTAACTTTATTTCCCTTAAATAAGGTTAAAAGTATAAAATATGGTCTATATGCTTAATTTTTTATTTAACTATAATTTCCATTAATATGAGTAATGATGGAGTACATATAAGTATTTACAAATGAATGAAATCCAGAAAATTTTAACTTCACAGCCCAATGCATATCCATGAAACTTTATACTATGTATTTTATAAAGAACAAAGGAAATGGATATGATAAACATAGTAATAAGGGGCTTCAATTTCACCAAGAAGGGTAATCTTATTAACTAAACATTTATTACCATAACTTCAAGGCCTCTTTAGATAACACAGGAAATAAAATTACTCTGTGTCCACAAAAATCGTAGCAACGTATGACAAAAGATCTATTTTGCCAATATTAAATGAAACTCCAGGATAAAAGACTTCAAATAGATAATACTTCCCATGTTCAAATATGCAAAATTAAAGAATAACTAAACTAAATAAGATTTTTAAAATATCTTTGGTTGTCTTAAATTCTAATAAACACAGAAGAATGAAAACAGTAATGATCAATACTCTTCACGTACGAGCCTTCAATGCTTGACTATTATCTTGCAGAGATCTTTTTAATATATAATGCTAAAATTAATCATGTAAAATATTCAGTAAATGGTTCATTCTTGAAAGGCGGTATTATAACCTATGCTGTTTAATAAACTCTAAATAAGAAATACAGAGCTATAAACATGACACAAGAGTTTTATAAATAAAGCTTATATCCTAAGATAAAAAGAACAAGCATGAAAGAGCAGAGAGGCAAATTTTTAAGCAGTAATTCGGAACTGGAAGCTGTAATTTAAAATTCGTATTAAGACAACCCACGTGCTCAGAAAAAGCTCCAGGAGCAAAGGAGAAACAAATGAGGCTAGTCTTTCCTCCACTGCTATAGAAAAGTTGTAACTGACAACTGTAGTTTTAATCCTTTTTTCCTATTTCCATTTCATATCATAAATGTTTATGAAATAATTTTTTATCAGGCTTGTATTATAAATCACCTTTTGGGTTATTACATATTAGAAAAAAGGCCATGTCTTCTGTATTTATTAGGAAAATGTATTCTAAAAAATAAGTTATAAAATCAAAGGTAAAAGTAAGCATTAAAAATTATCTTAGTTATATAAAAAGAACTGAAATTTCTAGAAGGCTTTAAAGGTAAACGATAAATTGCATTTTTGTTTCAGAAAAGAGAAATCTAAATAAAATCAGAAGACTAAATAAAATGAATATACTCAAGATTTTTCTTTTTTGTCTACATATTGGTACTAAGGTGAAATAGAAAATATAATAGATTTGTAATAAACCCATAGCCAAGATCTCGCCTCTTTTTGCCTAGTACAAGTGTGTTATAGAAGGTGGTGAGAATGGCAATGAAATAATAACAAATTGTAATGGAGTCAATGTAAACGCTGTGGGCCAATCTAGCTTTTGAGAAGATAACGGATATTATGAATGATTTTATTGAATCGTAAGTAATTAAAGATGTTTGGGACAGACTTAAGACTCTAGAAAACTGTGTTCAAACTCATTCTCATTCAGAAATAATACTTCAATAAAACTTAACAAGGAAGATACACATATATATTCTCTCAATTTAAAAGCTCTAATTTCTTAAAAATTAACTTACTTTCCTCTGAAAGACTATCCTTCTGATAACAGAGGAAAAAAAAATAATTTCCTGTTGGTTAAGAATAATTTCCATCAGGTCTGCTAAATAAACAGAGCTAAGTCATACTGGCCCACGTCTGTCTTCGTCAGCCTAGAAAAGTTGGCACTGACACCAAAAGTGAAATTAATCTCAAAATTACAATTCTTAAAAAATAATTTTAAGTGAATTATTGATACTGCAATACTTACGACTGTCATAACATACGTTTCCCAGAGCTCTGCCCGTTTGAAGCAGCACTTCCTGGTCTTTGCTATTTAGCAGCTGTACCAGTGGTGAAATCAATCCAGCATCCACACATGGAACTCGCATAAATTCTGAAAATAAGAGATACTTAAATAAAAATCTAAAGATTTTCAGTTTACATAAATCAGCTGTAAATAAATAAATAAATAGCTTAATTTTAAAAAAACTTTTTTTTTAATTTTTGCAGTGTTTCCTCCCCTCCCCTCCCCTCCCGTCCCTAGCAACCAACAAAGTAAGTTGCCTTCTATATACAAACCTTTCCTTGTCTTTTTACAATAATGAACTAATCAAATATTTATCTTTCTGTAATTAACTTATTTTACGCAGCATAATGTCCTCCAAGTTCATCTATGTTATGTGGTGTTTTGCAGATTCTACGTTATTCTTTAGGGTTGCATACTATTCCGTTGTGTGTGTGCACCATAGTTTGGTTATCCATTATTCAGTTGATGGGCACCTAGGTGGCTTCCATCTTTTTGCTATTGCAAATAGTGCTACAATGAACATGGATGTGCACGCATCTGTTCTCCTGGCTCTCGCTTCTTCACGATATACACCTAGTAATGGGATTGCTGGGTCAAATGGTATTTCTAATTTCAATTTTTTAAGGAATCACCATACTGCTTTTCACAGTGGTTGTATCATTTTACAGTCCCACCAGCAATGTAAATACCTACCTTTTAAAAAAAATAAATACCTACCATCAAAATGTTTAAAGTGTCTCACATTTTTATTCAAAAGTACCCTGTTAAAAATCTTACTAAAATTTCATGAAATACGTACATAAGAAATTAATAGGGTCTTTTTTTTTTTTTGCTGGTAAGTTTCTGCCATAAACTAAAAAGATTTTAAATTACTTTTCACTACATCTAATTTATCACTGTATTTTATAATAACTGAATGTGCTTTGAAAACAACATGTGATGATAGAAATATTGAGAATATTCTTTCTCTGAGCTTGATAATTAAAATACTACAGTTAACTGAGCCATCAACTTGCCTAATTTCTTTCACTACATGTTCTCTAGAAAGTCAACATATAAATATCCTTTAAAAATTATAGTGTATCATTCTAAAAAAAGTAGGTCCATTTCATTGCTAAGATCTAGGGGAATCATCTCCTCCTTACAATCATTCCTATAATATCTGTTGTTGCACCCAAGCATTCATGGGTTTAGAAAAGCAACAAACTGTAAGCCTTCTTTTATTTCAAACTCATTTTTTTTTTCCTTTGTGTTATAATAAAACATTATTTATTGATGTCCAATGATACCATGAAGGAGCCCTTGTAATCCAGTCTTTAAGAACTCGGCTGCTAACCAAAAGGTTGGTGGTTTGAACCCACCAGCCATTCAGCAGAAGAAACATGAGGCAGTCTGCTCTTGTAAAGATTACAACCTTGGAAACCCTATGGAGCACTTCTGTTCTGTCCCACAGGGACAGAACAGACTCGATGTCAACAGGTTAATGATAGCACCAGAGTAACTATTAGAAATATTAGAAATAAACATTTTTTTAGTATTTCATGATGGGCCACTACAAAATGTAAGGATAATAAAGATATCTAATTGATTACTTGCACCAATAATCACCCCATGAATTGTCATTTTGAACATCATGGCCTACCACAAGGATGTTTCAGTCAATAAAGTTAGTCAACAAAGTAGTTAATTCCTTGACTCATAATCAATTCTACTAAAACAATGACTATCTTTTCAAGTGGACTGTGTTGGATTGGGTTCTCTAGACAAACACAAAAACCAGCAAAGTGTATATATGTATTTATAGAGAGAGAAAGAGAGAGAGAGAGAGAGAGAGAGATTTATCTTAGGTAAATGGTTCACAAGCGTGTAGAAGCCGACAAGTTCAAGCTGAAAAGTTCGTCTCTGCAGGGGGGATGGGGCCCGGAGCCGCCTGGCTTTCGCACACACGGCAGAGGAGTTCAAGCCACAAAGTTCGTCTCTGGAGGAGATGAGGCCCAGAGCTGCCTGGTTCCCATAAGCACAACAGAGCCGAGAGAATCAAGCTGGCACGCAGCACGCTGGTTGCTGTTCCCAACAAAGGATGAATCCGAAACCTCCAGGGCGAGCGGCGAGCCGCTCACTCAAGGAAGTATATAGTCCGGAATGCCGTTCTTCCAGCTTGTCCTTGGGATAGCATTGCAGGTAGGCCACACCCCTGGGGAAACTCCCCTTGGGCAGACCGGCCGCTCAGAACTCAGTCATGTGATCCATCATGGGAACCACCACTCACAACTGGAGTCCAGCCAAGTTGACACATCTTCAACTATCACATGGACCTATTCCAAAATTTTCTCTACATGGACCTTCATAAGCAATCCTCCTTTGATTTTCCTTCATTTCCAAATTTCTAGAACACACCATATAGGACTACTATGTGAGTGCTTTGGGAGGAATGGCTGGAGAAAGGGCTAGAGGGAGGCAGCATGTCTGGCCTCGCAGGAATGGGCCTTGGGCTATTGATGGTGATTCTGTCTTGCTTTTGTGGAATTAGAGGAGGTCAAAACATGTGGCTTCCTTGTCGTTTTTTCAGTCATTAAGAGAATTCTGACTCATAGCAATACTGTAAGACAAAGTAGAACTGCCTCATACGGGTTCCAAGGCTGTAATCTTTACCAAAGCAGACTGCTCTATCTTTCTGCTGAAGAGTGACTGGTGGGTTATAACCACTAATCTTTTGCTTAGCAGGGGAGTCGTTAACCACTCCACCACCAGGGTCCCATTATGTATATAAGTGCATGAATTTAATGACTATATACAGGATGACACATCAATGTATTTGTCTCTTCAATTAATGACCACTTTAGAATCTTTAAGGATTTAAATTATTAAATGAGCATGCCATCATCTCAGATTAAAGACAGACATGTTCACTATCCTTTTCACCTAGTTTCCAACAATGGGATCATTTCAATGGTGAATAAAATAAACAATTTAGGAATAGTGTCTGATTTGCACTCTAATGAAACCTGCTGATATATCTTATTGCTTTGTTTTATTGTTGCTTCTTTTCAGGTGATAGTAGTATCAAATTACTTTTCATGTCTTTATGTTCTGATCATCCAGATGATAACAACTTATCTTTCAAAATACAGACTCCACAATCAACAGCTTCATGCATTCTGTTAAGGGTAGAGGGGAAATAATTACAATAAAATTGTGGAATCCAATAAACCAATTCACACTCAACAGTATATAAAGATAAAACAAAGCTAGTATATGCCTTGGCTTTTAGTCAATCTAAAGGTAACACTTCCAGTCTGTGAATAAAATAACTTCCTTCTAAAATCTTTTGATTTTTAGTTAATATACCTATTTAACTAAGAAGTGGCAGCCTTCCTTAGCTAATTTTAATGGTATTAAATTACCATACTTCAGACGGAAATATGTGTGAAAGCTATACCAGAAATTTATTAGGAATATGTTTAAAATATTATACTGAAGAGGCTACAAAATGGCCACAGTGGCTATCCTCATTCAAAAGGATTCCTACTACACACATTCCTGTTGACACCACAAAAGCCTGCTACCTGGTCACAGCACGCGATAATTTGGTCTACATCCAGCCTATATGTATAGGTTGACCAACAGCCTGTTAAACGGCCCAGTAAAAGAACTGCTAAATAGTGCAATGGTAATAAAGTAAAAAAAATAAATCCTGGGAGCACGAACTCCAGAGAATTGAAAAGTTCTTGGGGGCAAGGGCAGTAGCAGAAACAGGTTGAAGCCAAAATGCAGAAAAAGAATGAGCAGAGATTAAAGTTGAAACCATTAGGCAACAGAAGGCAAAAAGCAGTTATTTGCATGTGTGTACAAGACGAAGTACGATACTGTCAGTGATAGGATAATATCCACATGCCTACAAGGAAGAGCAGTGAATACTACTCTTATTCAAATAAGCACACCAACCACTGCAGCCAAAGATGAAGAAATGAAGACTTTGACAACCTCTACAGTCCAAAATAACCAAACACTAGATAAAGATGTATTGATAGAGGAGCTCTGGTGGTGCTGAGATTAAAGTATTAGGCTGCTAACCAAAGGTTAGTGGTGTGAATCCACCAGTTGTTCCACAGGAAAAAGATGAGGCAGTCTGACTTTGTAATGTTTTACAGCCTTGGTAACCCCATGGTGCAGTTCTACTCTGTCTATAGGATCACTATAACAATGACTTGATGGCAGTGGGTGTGATTGGGTTTTTGTGCCTGTATAATACAGACACCACTTGTCTATCAGTTTGTTGTACTATGGCTTGTGTGTTGCTATGAGGTTGGAAGCTAAGCCACCAGTATTCTAGTACCATCAGGTCACCCATGGTGGGCAGGTTTCAATGAAACCTCCAGACCAAGAAAGACTGGGAAGAAGGATGAGGTCATCCACTTCTGAAAAACTGACCACTGAAAAACTTATGAACAGCAGTGAAACACATCTGGTATACTGTAAACTCTTTGAAAAGCAGTGAAACACAGTTGGATACAGTGCCCCAACATAAGCCCATCATGTGTAAAGGCACTCAAAATGCAACTGGGTAAGAGCTGCTTCCTCAAAATAGAGTCAGCATTAATGATGGGGATGAAGTAAAGTTTTTGAGACCTTCATTTGCTGATTGGGCATGACTCAAAATGGGAAGAAAGGGCTGCAAATATTCATTAATAATTAGAATGTGGAATGCATGAAGTATGAATCTAGGAAAATTGGAAGTTATCAAAAATGTAATGCATAAAGACCAATACCCTAGGCTTTAGTGAGCTGAAATGGATTGATATTGGCCATTCTGAATCAGACAATCATATGGTTTACTATGTCAGGAAACACAGATTGAAAAGGAATGGCATCACATTCATCATCAAAAAGAATTATTTCAAGATCTATCCTGAAGTACGATACTGTCAGTGATAGGATAATATCCACATGCCTACAAGGAAGAGCAGTGAATACTACTCTTATTCAAATAAGCACACCAACCACTGCAGTCAAAAATGAAGAAATGAAGACTCTGACAACCTCTACAGTCCAAAATAACCAAACACTAGATAAAGATGTATTGATAA